ATACGATAAATCTGCAGAATAGTCCAGCTATAGCACTACACAACCACACAATAGGATGGGATAAGATGACAGTATTATGGTCGGATATAACAGGGTGCAAGGAAATAATGTCTACGGAAAATATGTGCCACAAAAGTAGTTCAACACCTGTCCACCCGGACATGTGGAAAATTTTTACTACCGCTAAGACGAATTATTATTATTGTTCCCTTGGGTTCCTAGTGGAACATAGGGCTTCAACTGCACGTCTCAACTTGCTTCTGTCTTCCTTCTGCTGTACTTTTCACCTGCATCCATGTTAGTCCATACTCTTTCAACTCCTCCTGCTCCTCTTCACACGACCTCCTCCATGTCACCCTTGCACTGACGTCCCACTCGCCGCGTGCTTCCCTTTCGGCCTGGTTCCACTCGAGCAATGGTCTGACGCGCGCGCGATGTCACCCAGCGCCCTCCTCAGCCAGTGTCCATCTCCACTTTCTCCTGCATATTTGTTGATTGGCGATTTGTTCTTGTTTAGTTTTTTTCCCATAGTTTCTTGTTGGTGATTCTTTCCGGCCCGGCCATCTGATCTTCAGTATAGATCCAGCGAAGACAGTTGTTAGTTGATAAAGGTCAGCAACAGGCTGTTGGAAATATTCTTTGTGACCCACCCGCCAAGTTTCTGATCCGTATAGAAGAACTGACTGACTTGACGTTTGCATTGAAAATCCGAAGCAATGTGGTTGTTGATGGTGAGTGACGAAGATTTCCAGACTGGTTTCAGGTTGATGAATATGTTTCCCGCCCCCCTCCCCGAATCTCCAATTGACATCCTCGTCCGTCCCGACTTCCTGTAGTTGAGACAATGCTCCCTAGATAAGTAAGTGAATGAATTAACCTCTTTCAAATCCCTCTCGTTGATGGTGATTGGCGCTGGATGTTGCTGCTGTTATTGTTGTTGGATGGTTATTTTCATAACCTTCGTCTTGTCTATGTTCACCTGAAATCCTGTCTTCGCCTGCTGCTTTTTCGACCAGTTTGTCGGTTTTCGCTTGTAAGTCTTCGATTTCGTGTATGTAACATCAAACATAAATCATCCATGCGCGAAATCCAGATCTTCTATGTTCTTCGCGTCGGTCCAGGATATCCCTGTCTTCTCGTTTATTTATTTTTTTTATTTTTCATTACAACTTGATTCCACACTGTATTTTTGGTACAAGTATGGAATTTTAAGCATGGATATCGGAAGCCCAAATTTCGCAGGCCGACCACAGATATCAGGTGTGAGTCGGTAAGGGATCGAACCTCAGACCATGTGCATGGTCGGCGAGAGTCCTAACCACTGTGCCACCGACGCACACTGTCTGACGCATAATCGAGTTCACCACAATTAGGAATATCATTCGTGATAATAAGCACCCTTGTCTGACGAATATAAAGGAGTAAAGGAAACCACCACTGTGCGTCGGTGGCACAGTGGTTAGGACTCTCGCTGACCATGCACATGGTCCGGGGTTCGAGCCCACGCCGGCGCACACCTGATATCTATGGTCGGCCTGCGAAATTTGGGCTACCGATATCCGTGCTGAAAATTCCATACTTGTACCAAAAATACAGTGTGGAATCAAGCTGTAAATCTAAAAATCTAAAAAAAAAATCTAGTTTCCAAGTTGTGTAGTTATATAATTCACGATATGTTTATGATCGATGAACTGTCTCTGAAGATTAGTCATCCAGTAAAAAAATACTGCTTTCCTATGTGATATATCTAGTAAACAGATTAACATAGAATTCAAACTCATGTCAGGTAGTTTTCATCTGCATATTGTTTTTCCGACCACAGTCCAATGAGAATTTTCACTATGCCATTTTCATCGAAAACGCTTTTGCAGAAAGAAAAAAAGGCCAAACCGTTTCTATTCGAAAGAAATCAATGGCCTAATTCAACTATAAATAAATATCCGTGTACATCTTGAGAATATTGATTCCTAAATGTTCGTGTATATGGATAATTAAAAATTGATTTGAACTTAGTCAAAAGTGAACTATTGTCTACTAAAAGAACTTCGAAGTAACCCTTTAGTGAGAATATAATCATTTATTTTTATTTGCCTAAGCTGCTTACTGGGAGAAAGACTACCTATTCAAGCTATGGTGGCAAATAATTCTACAAGATTATTACCCTGTAGCACTCAACAGTGGATGCTGATCTTCGCCATTGACCTGAAGGCTGGCGGCCAAGCATCCACGCCATTTGCAACACTGTCCTGCTATGTTCGTCCCCCGTCCGTGGCCAGCTAAGCAATCATCATCGCACTATGACTCTGATCCTGAAATAATAGCTCGTATTTTGGACAATCAGTTTGACTTTGTTCTAAATATAATCAATACTGCATGAGCTGTGCGGAGGGGGGGGGTGCTTAATAACATGCGCTTGTATACACCGTACTTTGCGTAAACGTCAATATTCCTTCATCTCCTAAACACCCTATGCAAAAATTGATGTGAAATTATGCAAATTGCTAAGCCACATTAACTTGGTTACACACTTTAGGATGTTCTGGGTGCATATCTCGGTAAGGAACAGGCTGGATTTAGGACACACAAATTATGCGCAGATCAAACTCTAGAATTACTTATCATCACTGAAAGTAGCATACAATGACAATCAACTCTCCACATCGACTTCATGGAATTTGAAAAGGTCGTTGAATAACTAACAGATTGCTTCAACATTACGGAGAACAGTGGTGCAAACATTTGTAAGATTCATGCAACAGCTATATGATGATGCTATGTACCAAATGATGCAGTGTTATGCACAGATATGTGATTAACATATCGTTACGGGGTTACTTTAACGTTTCGGGGTTGCGAATAGGCCAACTGGCGGTTACTGATGTCGTCGTCAACCGACAAGAGCCAGACAGTCATCTAAGCCGCATTACTGAGAAAATATCCGGGACGCAAATCCTAGTTGATGAGTGCAGGACTGAGTGGTCACACAAATACTTGCCGATTAATAGATACCCTACCCCGGTTGAACTTGCATTTTGCAATGACTCAAAGAGCGGATGGAACGAGTATTCCTGAATTTCCTACCATGTCAATAAGGTCTTTCAGGTAACGCCTATATCGAAAAGAAGTCAACGTCAAAATGTAAGTCGTTCACGTCATTTTGGTTGTCTGAAGGCGAAGTCGTACTGTAACAGCAGAAGACAAGGGCCATGAAACAGATCCTTTATTAAGAAGATCAACACATATTTATAGATTTTCATGTACATATTATAGATTATTTTTAGCAGGAAAACACAGTCTTCTGATAGGTTGTTTCCACGGAAAGTTGACCTTGCAGCTCTTTGTGACTGTTTCTTGAGTGTCAGATCATCTATATGCTAACTGTATCCGCCTACGCAAAGCCTTTGTTCTCATTTTTTTCACGACCAATATTACTGTCCACCAGTTTTGACTAACAGCCAGCTCTCACCACAGTACTACTGGGGGATAGGAATATGAGAGCTGGAAGGTGTTTGTCTCAGACCGCCGACAAGACAGCCATGCTGGCTCTTCGCTGTGGTGAGTTGGGGCTAGAAAAGACTGGTCACAGAACTGTACATCCCGATGTACCCTACAGTTGTGTGTAGCTGGCGGTAAGATCTTCATTAATGCACAACTAGAAAAACTACTTCGAACAGACCGTGTTAGATCGCAGTCAAACATTTGTCCCTTAGGTCAAGCAGTGACGCATCACTACTGCTTTTTCTGTTTCAGATACTTCAAGGAGATGCCATGATGATGGCGGCTGGGAAGTAATAACCACCCACACATTCTCATAAGCACCCAAAGCTCTTTTGATGATCACTCATTCTCATTTTGTTGCTTTCTGTCATTCTCAGTGCTATTCCACAGCTAAATTCTCTACATTATCTTGACACTTCAAGCATTGATAGCGATCGGAGTTGGCAATACTTCCAACAGTCTTTTAAAACCATGCCTCCAACTTCATTTTGCAATATTCAACATCCCAGCCTTTTGCGTAGTTAGAAAAGAAAATGCAAATGGTCCGAGGTTCGATCCGCTGCCAACGCACACCTGATATCTATGGTCGGCCTGCAAAATTTGGGCTACCGATATCACATGCTGAAAATTCCATACTTGTACTAAAAATACGGTGTGGAATCAAGTTGTAATCAAAAAAAGAGGCCTCACTAGCCAGGGTCCCGGCATTTCAAGCTATAAGTGTTTGTTATGATTCGGAAACAGAAGCTCGTACAAGGCCCGAGTGTGATTACTCACTTAACCCCACGCCACCATCGGATTTTCTTTTTTTGCTTTCCATTCCTGTACGTTTCCAGTGGAACATAGGGCTTCAAGAGAGAGGCTTGAAGTTGCGGTAGCAGTTGCGTTTATTTTGACGGGATAGGGTTGCTAGCCTCATGCTTAACATTCCCTCTTTACCAGACTTATTACTGGCTTAGCGATGTAATGGAGTGCGTCGGTGGCCGGGGATCGAACCCCGGACTACATGCGTGGCTGGCGAGCATTCTACCACTGTGCCATCAACGCAGTGGTGGTCTACGAGCTCGTCTTGTAACCAGAAGGCCTTGGGTTTGAACCTTAGTGGGTGCGTACTGTGAAGAGTCGCAAGTTAGGACAAAACGGCCTCCGGTACTCCCACGTTTTAGGCCTCGTAGTATACAGGTTAGCACTCCGGAATTTGAATCCAGCGACCCGAATTCGAGTCACGGCGAAGCCCCGAGCTGAGCACTTTGCGTCGGTGGTACAGCGGCAGAATGCTCGCCAACAATACAGGTGGTTCGGGGTTCGACACCCGATCAACGCACTCCATTACATTGCTAAGCCAGCAATAAGACTGGTAAAGAGGGAATGTTAAGCATGAGGGTAGCAACCCTATCCCGTCAAAATAAACGCAACTGCTACCGCAACTTCAAGCCTCTAGGAACGTAAAGGTCATTATCGACTGAATCTAGAAAATACAACACTTCGTCGATAATTCTCAGCAGCATTTTAACAAAACTTACGTTCTGGTAAGAAATCATACGAAAACTTATGTAGACTAAAGGTAATCACAGTCTAGTACCCACGTTTCCAATGTGACCACAAAGGTGGGTAATATGCTGTTTTGACTCACTATCCTTTAGCATCATATACTAGAAGTTCAACCACAAGAAACTCTGAGATTAGTTCAATAAACCTTTTGGAAACTAATATTACGGGGAAGTTAAAGATTTCAGCGAATAGACATTCGGGTCATAACTGCTGAACAGTAGAAGAACTGAGCCTAAAACTTCTAATCCATCGATAAGAAGTATGTTTTAGGGTTACAGAACCAACCGGTTACACGAATAACTAGCGATAAGCTATACAGCCTAAAAGTAGAAGAAATATATTATGCAAAAAAGTATACTGGAATTATTTAAGTGAAATAACTGTCCACCATAGAAAGAAAGACAAATAAATTAGGGAAGAAAAGAAAGACTGGATATAATATAGCGAAGAATCCTCCAGAGTATGTTACACATACAATTGTTTTCTGCATTGACTGCCTACTTCTAACATATTTTTCAGATAAGTATGAATATTGGATTCATCTTCAGAAGCATGCCCAGAGCGTACTTTCTCCGAGATATATGCAGCAAGTTTACTCAAATCATTCAAGACTGTAGAAGACTGGAGTAGCTTTAAAGCTGCTGAATGCGATTTATTTGATTTACTACCACCATTTTTGTCGTCTACATTGTCTTCGTTCAATTTAGAAGCTTCAAACAACCATTCAATTAACTCCGGTACACATTTTCCAGGCGCTGTTACAGGCCAACCGATAATAATTTGAGCGAATAAACAGGTAGCAGCTAAAGTTGCATTTGTTATCGTTTTCAGTGGATCAGTAGAAGTTTTAATATCCAACACAGACTCTTTTAATAGCATTTCATATTGAATAGCTAATTCATTCGACTTGAGTCGTTCATCACGTTCACGTTTATTATCCGATGAATGAAATACGGGGATAGTTAAGCCAAGATTGTTCACTGACAAATTTTCTAGTGGAGAATAGAATACACTAAGCGAGTTGAGATTGTCTTGACCAATTTTCAAACTATCAAGAACTTGTTGTATTGAACTGCTTAAGACAGTAGCATCCGGTAGGCCAGTACGTTTCAACAGATCGATTACACGATGAAATGATTCAATGCTTAAAGGTTCAACGACATTTGAACCGGCAAGGTTGTCATCAGTTGAATCAGAAGTCTTTGGATTCGATTGGTCATTTTTGCGAGTAGCAGCAGTTGATTCGGGCCAGGCGATTCCGAATTCGTCAACAATATGATCACAAATTCGTCGGAGAATAAGTAAACCATGATTCTTCAAAAGATGCATTAGTAGTTGGCGTTTTAGCGATGCACGAGTTATTGCTGAAATTCCTTTCTCCAACAGCTGAAATATTGAAGAAAAGACTAGCTTAAAGTACATAGAAATATTTCATGGAGGATTTCATCATGAGCTGAAATCAGTTAGAGAGCCACTGGGAAACTTGCGAGTACTGGACAGCTGTTTCGTCCTAGTTTGAGACTCTTCACCAGTGCGCACCTACTGGGGTTCGAATCCAGGACCTCCAAGTTACACGGCAAGCTCGTGGACCATTGAGCCAATGGTCCTTGAATTCTAACTTCTGCCAATTCACGACCATAGTGCGACCATTTCGTAATGTCTTCTTCGATTAGTTGCTGCCTCATCTTGGTTGGTGCGTACTGATGAAGAGTCCCAAACTAGGACAAAACAGCTGTCCAGTACTCCCAGGTTTTCCAGTGGTTATCTAACTGATGTCAGCTCATGATGAAATCCTCCATGCAATCAAACACAAAATCCCTACAACACCAATAATTGAAAAAGCATAGAAATATAATTAATAAAATAATAATATGCAGATGTTGCGTATAGGTTTGAGACACTAGGAAGTTAAGCAAAGTATTAGAAGTGAATTCAGACATTTTACGTGAAGAATAAAATAATACAACCTCCAAGTGTTGGTCTTTGGGGTGCGGGTGGGGAGGAATTTGCTTGATTTCAAAAGTGACCACAAGCCGAATTCAGTTAGAGAACCATTAAAAACCAAACAGAACTGGACAGCTGTTACGTGCCCCTGATTTGGGGGACCCTTAAGCAGTACACACCCTTGATCCCATCATCAGTCGAGCCCAGGACTTTCAAGATACACAATGAGCTGGTTGACCGATCACAACCAATAGGACAGGATCTAATGACCCGTTAATTCTAGCTTCTGCCAGTGGCTAACTGGTCAATGAGCTCGTCTTGTAACCTAAAGCTGCTGGGTTTGATCTCCAGTAAAGGCAAGGGTGTGTACTATTGAACTGTTAGTCGCATCTGTCTGTCTGTTTTCGACATAGAACTTTGCACCGATGTGCGGCAGTTCAAGTCGCCACACTCCATGTAGCACGCAAAGCAAGAGAAGAAAGTAGAAGAAAAGCATAATAGGGACAGTGAAGAGAGGTGTGAGACAAAGGAGTAATAACGAAGAACAAAACAGTTTCATTAGAGATCATAAGTCACAAGGAGTGGATGCATCTGCGCCACCCATTGAGAACGATTTTGAGCCATGTCACCAATTGTTTCCAACCATAGATTTTTACCGTCCCGAGGACCCCAGCCTGGAAGTCTACACCTTCCTACGTGGCTTAGACCAACTGTTGTGGATTTCATTGACTGGTGCCAAGTTTTTGTTTGACCGCCGCTAGCTTTTTTCCAGCCTGACCCTATATCCGCTAACATTGCTCGTCGAGGGAGGCGATGGCTTGGCATACGTAACACATGTCCTAACCATCTCAGTCTTTGTAGCTTCACGACTTCGTCGATTGATTTCCCCTGTTTACCTAGAACTCTGCGCCTAACCTCAATGTTGCTCACCTTATTATGCCACTTTACACGGGAAATAGAACGCAGGCACCTATGATCAAAGACAGCTAGTCTTTTCATGTCTTCCACTCTCAGTGGCCAGGTCTCACAACCATAAAGGAGGACGGAGCGGACTGATGAGCAGTACACCCGCCCTTTGGTCGATAGTCGAACATCTCGTCTACGCCAGAGTCGGCGTAAACTGGCAAATGCGAAACGAGCCCCTTGTATTCGTGCTGAGATTTCGTCAGAGATCAGCCCGTTGGGGCTGATGGTACTTCCCAAATAAGTGAAGCGGTCAACGTGCTCTACCACTTCACTTCCTATTTTTAAACTAGGCGTCGATGTAGTCCAGTCCTGTAACATCATCTTGCATTTGGCGGGAGCGAATCGCATGCCAAACATTCGTAGATTGCGGCTCAAGGTGTTTAGAAGACTCTGCATTTCGTCAGCGTCTTCGCCTAGAAGGACTATATCGTCTGCATATTCCAAGTCAACGAGATTATTCCCTGGTAGCAAGTCAATCCCTGAGTCGCTGAAGTCACTTAGGGTTAAGTCCATTAACACATCTATGATGAAGTTGAATAGAAAAGGAGATAATGGGCATCCTTGACGGACACCACTGGTCGTCATCAGTTCAGATGACAGCTCGCCGTAAGCCCTCACCTGGCTGTATGAGTACGAGTAGAGTGCCTTAATCAGTGCAATATATTTTCTTGGAATTCCCTTTACAGCCAAGCATCTCCAGAGAACTTCCCGATCGACAGAGTCGAATGCTGCCTTTAGGTCAAGAAATATAATGACTGTTGGACGCCGGTAGGAATGCCTATGTTCTAGAATCTGTCGGAGGGTGAAGATATGATCAATACACCCTCTTCCTGGTCTAAAGCCTGCCTGGCTCTCTCGTGTTTGTGCCTCCCGAGCACCACTCAGTCTACGCATGATTATTGAGCCTAAGACTTTAGATACTATATTAGTCAAGCTAATCCCTCTGTGATTATCACAGGAAGACTTGTCTCCCTTCTTGTATATGGGGATAATCAGTGACTTACACCAACCCGATGGGACTTCTTCTGATTCCCAGACGCTGCCTAGTACCTCAGTTAATGCAGACAGTAAGCTGTCTCCACCGTACTTAAATACCTCTGGAGTCATTCCATCAGGTCCCGCTGCTTTGCCTAGTTTCAGATTGGTGACCTCAGTTAGGGATGGAGGACCTGTGTCTATATCCCATTCAGGGAGGTGTTGGATGCTCGGAAGGTTGAGCGTGGCTGTGGGCAAATTAAACTGCTCCTCATAATGCTCTTTCCAACGATCCAGTCGTCTATCCTGGGAGCTAATTATAGTGCCATTTTTTTCCGAGATTGTCTCACTGATGATTTGTCTTCTCCCACCCGTTTCCCTGATGAGTCTAAAGAGTTGCCTGGTGTTGCCTATCCTCGAAGCTTTCTCCATCTCTTTGGCTTTTGTCGCCCACCACTGTTCACGGTCCTTGCGGAGACTTTTCGTAAGTTTCCTCTTGTGCAGCTTTCGCTCCTCATTGAATTCGGAGCTCGCCGGAATAAGTCTTCTAGCATCTATCAGAGGCGGTGGAGATCCAGTGGTTTTTACTCACCTTTGGGTTTACCTTATTCACAGCTTTTACAGCTGTATCTATGGCTGCCTGGATATTTTTCCAAGCTTCTTCAGGGTGAGCACAGCTGTCGAACACAGATATGTGTTTAGCTAGTTCTTCCTCAAATACGGATTTAGTTTCCTGATCGAGCTGGGGACGTGATGGTTTTACCGCCAGCTGTTTCCTACGTCCGTTCAGTCGTAAGCATACACGAGCGCGGACCAGTGCGTGGTCGGTATCTACACACGTGTTAGTCGCATAAAAAGACAAAACGCCTGTCTCGTACTCCCCAGCTTTCAAATACCCTCTAACTGAATTCAGTTTGTGATCAATACTGAAATAATATCTCTCCAGATAGGGCTAAAAATTACATCATAGCCAACCACCCAAATTTTGAAGACTATTTAAGCTGAAAAATAAACATGATCCGATTAATTAAAAAGGAAACCAGAGTTACACCTCGACCACTTCACTTTTCAACTCCTACCTCATCTAAGAGTTGATGCAATGTAGTTCTGCTCTTATGCACAGTTCAAATTTCGGCTCTTACACTGGATAGGGTGAAATTACATAGACTGAGATGGTTAGAATATGTGTTACGTATGCCTAGTCATGGCCTTCCTCGACAATGGGCAATGTTAACTGACATAGGGTCAGGCTGCAAAAGAGCTAGTGGCGGTCAAACAAAAACATGGCACCAATCAATGAAATCCACAACAGTTGGTCTAAGCCATGTAGGAAGGTGTAGACTTCCAGGCTGAGGTCCTCGGGACGGTAAAAATCTATGGTTGGAAACAATTGGTGACATGGTTCAAAATGGTTCTCAATGGCTGGCGCATATGCATCCACTCCTTGTGACTTATGATCTCTAATGAAACTGTTTTGTTCTTCGTTATTACTATTCCTTTGTCTCACACCTCTCTTTACTGTCCCTATTATGCATTTCTTCTACTTTCTCTTGCTTTGTGTGCTACATGGAGTGTGGCGACTTGAACTGCCGCACATCGGTGCAAAGTTCTATGTCGAAAACAGACACACAGACAGACAGGTTTTTTTCACTGATGATACACTTTCGCATCATTATCTTCAATCACAAATCATCACAACACTTCAGTTGACAGGGTTAGACGTTATTTCTATTTTATTTTATTGTTCCCTTGGGTTCCTAGCGGAACATAGGGCTTTAACTGCACGTCTCAACTTGCTTCTGTCTTCCTTCTGCTGTACTTTTCATCTGCATCCATGTTAGTCCATACTCTTTCAACTCCTCCTACTCCTCTTCACACGACCTCCTCCATGTCACCCTTGCACTGACGTCCCACTCGTCGCTTCTCTTTCGGCCTGGTTCCACTCGAGCAATGCCCTGACGCTCGATGTCGCCCAGCGGCCTCCTCAGCCGCGAGTGTCCAGTCCATCTCCACTTTCTCCTGTTGGCGATTGGTTCTTGTTTTGTTTCTTCCCATAGTTTCTTGTTGGTGATTCTTTCCGGCCCGGCCATCTGATCTTCAGTATAGATCCAGCGAAGACAGTTGTTGATAAAGATCTGGTCTGCAACAGGCTGTTGGAAATATTCTTTGTGACCCTCCCGTCAAGTTTCTGATCCGTATAGAAGAATTGACCAACTTGACGTTTGTATTGAAAATTCGACCGAATTTTGTTGTTGATTCTGAGTGACAAAGATTTTCAGATTGGTTTCAGGTTGATGAATGTGTTTCTCGCCTTCCCGATTCTCGATTTGACATCCTCGTCCGTTTCTCCTGTAGTTGAGACTACATTACGTTAGACGTTAACAGACCAATAATTGTGCTACAACATTTACATCTATATATAACATAGAATGTTGCGAAAATATTGAGTTTAGGATTTTAATAACACAGGCAGTTGATGTTTCATGCACACATTATGGCTTCGAACCTGTTTCTTTTCTATATTCATTTAGACCAAACACACAGAGTTGCAGACTACACAGACACACCTGCAGGACTTCATTTGTCCAAAGATGAATTAATGCCTACAGTTAATACTGAAGACTGACAGCATTGCGCTGAAGTTAGAACACAGATAACTTTGTGTTTCTAAGATACAAAAATATTACATAATTATACCTTCGTGTCCATCTGAAGTAGACAAATACCACTAACAAGGTTGATATTTTACCACCCTTCTTCCGTATTTTAAGGAAATGTCATCGCTGCCTCAATGGTCATCCGAAGGGGACACCTACTGCATACAACCTTTCCGACCAGAAGCTAATCCAGCAACCGTTCAGTGGTCCAATGGTAGGATGGTCGCCAACAACCTACGGGGTCCGAAGTCGATCCCCAGCCGACATACTAAACCTCGCTTAGGTAGTAGTAAGAGGGAGGTTGGTTATCAGGCCGGCAACTGTAACCCACTAAAACTTTACAGTTGAGGTTTGAAGCACTATTTTCCACTCTAATGGAAAGCAAAGCAACCGTTCTACAAACAAGACACCTGAGAAAAATGTGGATTTACAAGACTAGCAACATCAGGTAAACGTTGTATCTATCCACTGGTCATCTATAGGCATGTGTGTAACTTTATTTTTACGTTTAACAGATATGACTTATGCAATTTTTTGGTGCAAGTGTGGGATTTTCAGCATGTGATATTGGTAGCCCAAATTTTGCAGGCCGACCATAGATATCATATGTGCGTCGGCAGAGGATCGAACCTCGGACCATGTGCATGGTCGGCGAGATTCCTAACCACTGTGCCACCGACGCAACACTCAAACCTTCCTGGTAATTTTAATTTTGGGGGATAATAGGCAACTGCCGTCTAAGAATAACACAGGAGTGTAAGTGGGAGTTAGTCTGTTCTACACTCTGCTGCTTTATATAAAACTATGAATAACTATGTGTAGAAGACAAAAACGCTTGAATAGTTCTACAACAAAAATGGATTACAACTGGTTACCTGTACACTGAGAAGCATACTATTCACCACTTCTTGTGTTTGTATTCTTTTTTGACGATCGAAACTGGTATCTGCACTAGGCGAAATTAAAGAATTAATATGCCGTGTGAATGACTGTTGTAAGGAAGGCATTAATAGGTCAGAAATTTGATCGATGACATCCTCTGGAACATCATTTGGTAATTGTGAAGATAGAATACTTTTGACTTCATCTATCAGGATATAACGAGCAAATATTTCTTTAATAAGGGATGAAGAATCACTAGAATCACCGGTGATATCATTTTCTGCCGCATTATTTGCTGATGCATGAGCATCAGCCTTACGCTTACTTGGATTATACTTTTTCTTGACATTTTTAGTTTTAATTTCCCGGGCACCGAAACCAAATCCACCCTTGGATGATGTAACACCTTGTTTTGAAGCTGCATTGACTTCTGTCGACTGCTGTTGCACTGGACTTGATAGGATTGCACTACGTTCACTATGGAAGGCAGTTTGTGCTTTTTTCTTCGTATATGTGTCCAGATAAGATTCACAATTTTCAATAAATTTATCAGAAATTATGTAGGCATCATCAATCAATTTCACGGGTAAGTTTTTCAACAAAGGATTAACAAGTGTGAATCTTTCATTTGAATCTAATCCACTTGGAATATAAGGCGACAAATCTACCCAAGATACATCACGAATAACACCGGTAATGAGAGCTTTTAATTGATCAACAAGTAAGGCGTTAATTGTAAGACCTGGAAGATGTACAGCATTGGGAATTTTAGTCCTTAAATAGGAGCCTGGATCAGCAATCTTCAGTCGTTTTAAATAATTCCACTCAACATATCCATTCTGTGTGTAAAATGAATTGACATATGTATCTTCAGCGTGAGTATAACACTGGGGAACAAATGTACTGCGATTGGCAATAAGAGTGCCACACAATCGACCAGTGCTTATAAGACTTGCAACTGAACTGCTAACAATATTCTCAGGTACTTGAAGTTTTGTAGCCACTGAACTTAAAGTAACAGGACGAACAACACCGGTGAAATACCCTCTGATTTTCGCTTTAGTAGCATTGAGAAATGTATCTGTGAAGTACTTCTCCCCATATTTATGCACACGAAATAAAGTACTTTGATACTCTTGCATAATATTCGATATAAATGTTGTGGGTAAACCAAATATAGTTGTTAGTTCACCAATGCTTGTTTGACCTTGCTCTTCTAGTTTATCCAGAATTTCATGAGCTACACGTCGTACATAGGAACTGTTAACAACTTCACTTGGGATACTGATTAGACGACACGGTGATTGACACTGGACATCTGCAGCTATCAATTCAAGAACTCTGGACTCAATAATTTCGAAATCCACATCAAGATTTGATGCTAGTTCAGTAAGTGATATTCTGCCAGAATGTGCTTCAACTTCATCGCGTATCTCTTTGTCAAGTTCACTTCGAGTTAAATATGAGCGTCCGTCATTTGAAAAGATCAACTTCAATCTGTTAACAGAAATCAAATGTCGAATAATGTCAACCCATGTTCTATCAGAAAGTCTGCAGATATTCGGTTGATCTTGTGCCTTCTTGAGCTTGTTGGCAAGTTCTCGTACCTCATCCCAAGTTGCCATATCGTAATAGGGAGCGAAAAATCAATGAATTTTATTGGGCTTCTAAAGATAAAATAAGTAAACTAGAAATTTAGGATACTGAAAACAGCATTAATAACTAAAAGAGATAAGATATTGCAAAGCTTTATGCATACACTAAACGATTAGAATATGTTAACTCAATAACGCAATATTGACTACATGTTGACACGTGCACATCACATCACATAAAGGATGGTGGATGTGTGCTGTTTTTTATATAAAGTACCATGTTCGAAAGATACTACTTTGACATAGTAGTACAGGTATGTTAATGGGCATTGAAACACACTAGTCGCAACGAATGTTCCTGCGGATCCCACCATTCAAGAAAGGTCGGCTGATAGCATATAACACTGCCAACTTTCTTTTCTCCGCACTCCAGGAAGAAATCAACTCCCAGTTTCGGCAGACAGAAATCAGTAAACACCCACACACTTCCATTATCACGCAAAATCTGCCTGTTAACCATGTACTCGCACCTTCCTGCTTTCATCCCATTTGTAATATTCTGCAGATATCTTCATCTAATTATTCTATGGCCGCTGCTCACGATGTGAACCTGAGAGATACTGCCCCTAGTCGATTAAAACTACACTGCCGAACTCATGTTCCAACTTTCACCTTGGAGATACTATGCCTGACTGAGCAATAGGCGACACAAGCCAACTTTTTGACAACTCAAGCTTTGGATATTTGTTATATCGTTGAGACAGTCATATTAGATTTACGTGTATTTATCAAGTTAACACAACCTGGTTGACTTGAAGGATGTAACACATTCACTCTAATAGTGTTAGAAGATTCTATGACTAGCTTTCCTGGAATTAACAGCCGACAAACAACATTGGAATAAAGAGCGGAAAACGCTCTTCCATCAGATCGCAGTCCTCTATGTGCTGTCCAGCACACAATGGATCCGTCAGAGTAAGAATAGATGTCTTTTTGTAATCGCCATTTTGCGTACAGAAAAGCAATTCGGAAAAAGTAAGAGATGAGCCTCTCAGCAAACTAGTTTTCTACTCAAATGTAATAGTGTAGAGTTTTAATGCTCAATGAACAGTTAGTGTCACCTACAGTTCCACGCTTTCGCCAGAGGAAATAACTGTTCACTGTATGTTTAAACTGAGTGCTAGCCAGAAACAGGGCTATAAAAGATTGAGTCAAAGACTCACACAAATAAACCACTTTGCTATCGGTGGAAAGATGTGAAAAATTCCCGGACATTTGCGTGGCCTCCAGTAAAGCGTTGAGAGTGTATGTCCGAGACTTAAAAGATGTAGGAAAAGAGCATCTAAAAAGCTTTTTACGCATGTATTATCAGTGTAAAATAACATGTCTGTATCTAGTGAGGAGATAACGAAACATTTAGATATGACAACAATACTTATCTTGAAAAAGCCTGTCAGCAAATAGTCTGCTGTAAAAACTGAGAAGGAAGTACTAATAACCTGCAACCAAAATATGGTCGATGCAATTAGACTAATCCGTTCGAAGGGTGGAAATTCAATAACTTTTCAGGAGTTTAGGATAAAACTTTTCACCAACTTAGTCCTATTTCAGCTAACATTACAGGTAAACACAAGCGCTGGCGCGGCATGTTGAGCGCATGTCCAAACCATCTCAAACAATATAGCCTCGTCGGTTGATTTCCCATCGTCACCTAACAATTTATGCTAACCACGTTATTAATTACCATACTGCTATGGAATGTGGCTACATGTGGTCAAAATGGCTAATCTTTTCTTCCGTATCCGGTAACCATCAAGAACAGGGAGAACTGTTGCACCGGAGACATATCCCTTTACAGATAGCTGGATGTCACGCATGTGCCGAAGATGACGCAAATAATAAGTAAGACGTTTGTATCCATTATGAAATTGCATCAGCAATCAGTCCATCAGGGTTGATCGCACTTCCTATATGAGCGAAGTGGTCGACACAATCAAATATCTCCCTGTCTATACTTAAACAAACCAATCCCACATATGAAATAGTGTCTTTATTTTAAAGGACTACTATCTGCTTGCTCTGAATTAAAGAGATTTCATAGGTGACAAGTCAATTCAGGGAAGTTAAGTCCACCAGGGTCACCATCATCTACATCCGTGATGGAATTAAGTGCGAATGGTGACGGATATATGTGTATAGGACTGCTGAAAGATTCATTTCCTGTACAGACGACCTATAAAAAAAGATGAGGACACTTGTCTGTCTAGAGTAGAGATATAAAAAGGACTTGTTTTATTTCAACTAGAACCTAATGGACCACAAAAAATATGAGGTAATATTTTCGTTTTTCACCGTATGAAAGACAAGATGTTACGATTTATAGTGATATTGATTCAGTGCCATATGTAATCGAATATCAGTCGACTGGAACTGTTATTCGGAAGAGATTTTTTGTGTCAGTTTATGGACCACACACCTTATATGAATTGATAATACCAATCCAGAATAAAGTAGATGAAGCGGGAATCGGACCAGTGACAGTTTAATAGTTAAGTATTTAAGCTAATGAGTCACCGTCACAGACGCACATTAAGGAGAAACAAGTGGGCAGCGGATTGTTAACGCTGTATCCGTACACTAATCGCTTTTAGTCAGTTATCACAAGAAACGCTTAAAACTTTGTAAGCTAACTTGCATTTCTCGTAAACATTACCAACATAATGAATCCTTCAATTTTGTCAAAAATAAAAAAGGACAGTCATCTGTCCGAAATTCCGAACGACACGGCTATAACCAGTTCGTTTAAACTTAACTAGAACACCACTCCAACTCCACGTAGGATTGCCAGTTTCGGGGGACAGATGATGATGAACTAAACCTGTATGTTCCTGCTCTTGGAATGCGCATTTCAGGATCCACACCAAACCTTTTGTTAACTCCCGTATTCTGCCTATTATTCTCTATTGTTCCCCTTTAGTCTTTCCTGGGCTATTGAAGAAAGACTATACCTTATTACGTAGGATGTTAAAGGTTGTCAGCAGGGTAAGCAGTTTGCCACTTAGCCAGCTTGTTAATATTCTCGTCGACAGGCACATGGACTCATGTGAAAAATGGGCGAAATCCATTTTATCTGACTCACAACACCCTCTATATTCACAACTCTTCCCATGTATCTCTTCAGGGAAAACCAGAAGCTTATATAGGAAACTATATGCCCGCACTAGTAAGTACAAAAACTCATCCATACCCTACCTAGCTCGTGTTCTGTGCGATAAAGGAAGCACTAGGCGTGAAACCCTTAACTTATTAAATAGTCAGTAGAACAACTGGATCTCGTCTTTCCAAATCACGTCATTTACAGGTACAACGTTTTCTCTCTACCTTTTTTTCTCTCTCTTTCTGTATTTATTTTTGTTATGTGCCGTTTTGTTTCTCTCTTCCTTACAAACTCTACTTAAAACATTCTTGTTCGTTCTTTCACACTCTGTATATCTCGACCATTTTGCTATCGCTTACGCCAGTAAATATGCTAGTAGTATCTACTTTTCTAACACCTTCAAACACTGTTTAAATTTGGCTTTGCTACTGACATGCTTATATGTTGTTGTCAAAACTGACTGAGATAACTTCAATCTATGTAGAACTTTATTTATTGTTAACGTACTAACTGGATGCAATATTGTGGTAAAAAATGCTGAGAATTCCATTCTGTATCACAAGTACTGATTTGGAATAAAGCTATTATCTTATCTTTTAAATATTTGGACAGATGAGGGCTAAACTGAATAAGCTAGAACATTAGAGGCCAAAGCAATAATTAACGTGGCTTTCTCAAATAAGTAAACCGTACAAAGTTAGCGTAATCCTTAATGGACACAACCTCCAGTTGGATTCGTTTGTCTTGTATGTATTCATTTCTTATACGCCAAACCAAAGTTCAACTTCGTTTTCACGTCCAACATCGATGACAGACTCAAACTCTTCTCGTAGCACATTTTGTGGCGTTTGTAGATGTTCTTAAAAATAACCTAGAGTGTCGCACAGAGCTGGCGGCGGTAGCCTAGTAAGTACACAGAATGGATTTACATGCAATAAGTCAAATCAAGTGAAACGACTGAGTGGCATTTGCACAACGAACCTTTATTAATAAACACATTTCGTGCAAATCCCCACGACGCTGTTTTTATAAATATCAAATCCTCCTCCATAGGTAGCCAGGATCTGGACAACTACTTAACCATACCCAACTTACATTAAAAATGCGCCACATTAAAAATTCATACTGAGAATCGCTAATATCCCACTCATGATTCCTACCAAGAAGCCGTTCTTAAGCAAATTGTCACTGGATAAATAACCAGGGAACGAAATTCTGGGCTTACAATACCTAAGTTACTGCCAAACTGTTCAAAACATTTAGGACTAACTCTCCGCGCCTAACTACATGAAAGTCTTACGTACCAGGTGTACACAAATGTGCCATCTTGTCACCAACAAATATTAAACAGCATTGAAAACTACTACGTGCACACGGATATCATCTAACAAGAGAAATTATGAGATAAAACCAACATATGTAAGGCTGTTGCTGGTCGTTCCTGAGTCCGGCTGAAGATTGGAAGAAAAATATTATGCAAAACCAGACTACACTTAATAGTAAAATTCACTGTTTTTTATAGAAGAGTAGGATATCATGAAAGTAGGAACTATAACTACGATGAACAACCTCAGACTGTCACAATGTTCCACGTTGCTGAAACATTCATAAATGTGCCCTAATGAAAAAGGGTTCAAATCCCAATGTATGAAGACTACGGTGCTTAAAAGCTTAGGGGATAGGCTACATAGCCTGCACCTGCCTTGCAAGGAAGATAAAATCTATTCTCCATCTTTTGCAAAATCTACAATGTTTATTCTAGATTTTAGTTATAACATAGGTCATAATCTCGTATAATGTATGTCGGATTAAGGCTAAACTCCTCCAGAAGATCCGACTATAAGATGTCTTTGATCCATTTCACCTAATAAGTAACTGCTCGTAATATAAGTATCAGGTTATTTATTTATTTTCTGATGTAAAATCCGTTATCTGTATGGTGAACTCAACATATGGTGCCATATAGGTAGTGAATGGGATCCTATTCCTATCAAAACTACCGGAGTCACTGAAATGAAAGATGCAGGCTTAACTGAGAAGGGAGCCTGACAGTTCCCCTAATAAGGTAGTCTACAGAAAACCGGCGTGGGATAGTCACTGAACAAATTTTAACAAATGGATACTCCCAAGAAAAGTAAAATTCTAACTGAACCAAAATTTACTTTCGTTTTCCAAATGTGATTGTACCCAACCCGTAAGCATCCGGTACTCAGGTAAGTGCGACATCCACGCATCAATGAAATTTATTTCAGAGAAGAAAGTTCGACAACAAAGTTAGCAGTTTCATTAACTACCAGCGTCTCAAGACAGAAGTATTCAATTTAACATATAAATATTCCTGCATCAGGAGTAATCGGAAACCGATATTTTGGTGTAGCGGTAAATATATCCCCCAAAATTATTGACCATAGGAATAGTTTATGTCTAAGAGAAGAATTACATCGTGACCATAAGAATCATCAGTAAACATTGGATGCTGACCCTTAGAGTTTAAGTCGATTAGTTTAGCTGAAGGCCTTTCGTCAAGCATCCCCGCCATCTGGTACTCCGTCGTGTCACTTTCGTGTACGATAACTAGCTAGCTTAGCTTCCGCTTCAATCCGCGATTTGGTTCCGGAATATATCTTGTAATTTGGACAATCGATTGTGGTGTTTTGCTTTGCCTTTGGTACATGAGAAACAAATAAGATGGAAGTTGTTGGTATAAGATCTTGCGTTAATATACTCCGTACATTTCGCGAACGTCTATACCATCAGCCTTTAAATTAACATACACGTAGTTAGGAACCGGAACGAATTTGAAATATTCCACATAAATCGCTAAATGAGGCATAAAAGAGCTGAAAATCACTGCCATATTATCCATTGAGATTTAGAATGGAACCTTAGGCATATTTTCATTATTTCCTGAATTTTCCATATTTGTTGAAGCCATATGGATGGTCAGCGAGATTTGATTGTTGGTCAATAAGGGTGCATCGTGAAGGAAAGTGCGTGGTTATTCCGAAGCAATCATAAGATTTAGGGTCAAAGGGGTCCCAAAATCTCTTTTGATTGTTACTGTAGCACGCCAAATAGATGCATTCTCTATTATCCTCTTGAAAACTAAGTACAACCTAAAATGGTGGGAAAAGGAAGCACAGGACAGTAGCACTGTTACTTCGGATGTACATATAATTTCACAGGCGCAACAGAGGGTTCCCTGTATTCACGAAAAATTCCTATAGGTACACTTAGAAAATCAGAACGAGTGATTTAGCGGAGAGACTGTTTTCAACGAACTTCCTATCAAGCTGTACAATTGTGTGTGTTTTAAGAAATTATATCCGGTGAGGGGATTGAATAATAGGTACGAATATACCGAATAATAATAGTATGAAATGCAGCTTAAATGTATGTGACTACAGTCACAGTTCAGTATGAAGTGGTAAAACAATTAATGTCATTTATAGAACAATTCGTTGGCTATATACATGTTGGAAAGAGGTGTATTATTTTAGGGTTAGTAGGCTAACATTGAAAGTTAGATAACGTGATGTGAAATTTGATTATATATAATTCAACGTGCAGAGGCTAGAAGGAGGAGAGTACTGTCATTTCGAGAGGTCTAGTTGCCGAGAAGACGATAAGTGGAAGTGTATGCGAGTAACGTACACTGTCCGACAGTCTATTCTTAATAACATGAGACTGATCTGGGGGGAAGTCGGTCTGTATGTCTGTTAGTGCGCTACAGCAAATAAGTTGTTATGATTTCTAAGATTGTAACGGATTCCAAGATTTTTCTAACTGCTGAGCAACCCACTCCTAAACATTCACGATCAATGTCCCCGAAGGCAGTTGTTGCGTAAGGCTGATTCAGGACTATAATTAAACTGGGTGTAATCCGTGATGACCTAGCGGCTTACCAAACTTCAAGCCACAGAGAAATCCTAAGAAAGTTTCACAGTTTGCTGAACATGAGTCATTTTTGCTTTTTCCGTAGTTATACGGTTTAGCCCACCTTCTGCAGGCACCAAGTGGTTCATAGCAGAAGACTCTCCCCTGACTCTGAAGTGAAGATTGGCAAAAGAAAAGATTGCCTATTATCACTGGTGGTATTCCTGATTGAGGTGGACTTGGTCGTGATTACTGAAGGGATGGGAGTGCTTTGGGCCGACAAGAAGACTCTAGATGATTTTGACTTCACGGACGATTTGTTATTAACGCAAAGAAGACTCTAAGATCTATAGGCAGAGAGGCCAACAGGGGAAATAGGACTTCGAGTGAATATAGAGATTACGGAGGTGGCGAGGATACCCAGCCAGCCACGAAAAGCATTACTCGCAATCACCGGGATAAATTTGAAGGAATTCACTTCTTTGACTTACCTAGAAAACCTAGTTTCAGTTACTGGTGGCTCGGATGAAGATCGGAAAGGCGAAATGAACCTACATCCCTGATATCAAGCCAATAACAACATGCGACCTAAACAATTTGTTTCCTAAGGAGGCTGGTGGGAATTTCACCCCACGACCTGTGAAAACTGCAGATCCTGTTGAGGGATGTTTACAGGCCGAAATTGTAGACAATCATTTACGTCAATGTTCACGTTTCAAATAAAAGTCATGGGAAAAACAATGACAAAGCTTAACCTTGAGAAAATCGCCAGCCGATCACAGCGGAGTTTAAGTGTGGAAACATGATTCATAGATAGATGACTTGATTTTCTGAGAAACGGCCACAAAGAGATGACAGAATAAACTTGAGCAAGAAAACAACCAATCAGAAGGCGTTGTTTCTCCGCTAACGATAACAAAATAATAACGCACGTAAAAATTTATAAACACCCCTCGATTTTCTCAATAAGCCATCTGTTGCCTTGGCCCTGTCTTCTGTTGTTACAATGGTATCATCGATTTGCCCAAGTAGTTAGCCTTAAACCAGACTGATTCAGCGCTCTGGGGCGGATTGGGCCGAGCACATCTTTGTTTAATTCGGCCCTGAACTAACGAAACCATCATCCAGTGTTTAAATCACCTTGATCTGGCCAGCGAGTACTGCTGATTAATGGTTATTCATCTCAGTCAGTCAGTAGCACATAGTTTTGACTTCTGTGTTAAATTATCACTTAAAAACAACCGAGTGAATGAAGTAAAGAAATTTCCCACTCCTTTTGTGTCCCCTTCCCGTTATATAGGAGATAGGTATTTGTTTATACCTGATTTGAAAGATAAATATGCATTTTCGGGATATTTTACATAATAATGTGGCAAATGCTTTTCATATTTCCTACTATTTTTATTATTGTGACTCGAGAGTATCCAGTCTTGCGTCGTGGTAACTTAAATGCGTCTTTCCCGTTCCCGTGGACAGTTTCTAGGGGCTTCTGCTCCTGTCTAAAAGTTGGTGCATGGCTATCATTGGCGGCCTTTAACACAGCTTGCTAGATGCGCACTAACTCATTCAACACGACAATTACCCTCTAATTTATTTTCATACCCTGGAAATCTTAAGCATCGGTACAACCAGATTGCACGCTAAATCGTAAATGCTCGGTCAATCTCTGACAGGAGTAAGAGAATCTGTAAAATGCTCTCATTATCATTCTTTAGTACAGAGATCGTGTCCATATCCGAGTATATGTCTTCATGATGAAATCATGTAAACGGTTACACACCTCTTACTAGGACAATCCGAAGTGCATTTAAAGGTACCTCAGTGTCAACACAGACCCAAGTGCCGACAACTGTAATTTCAGTTAATCTTATACATGCAGGTCTAATGTTACGGACCATTAATCACTCATTAATTAATGAGAAGTCATCAGCCCATTGTAACGACAGAAGACAAGAGTCAGGCAACAGATGGTTTATTAAGGAAATCAACACGTGTCGATGTAGTTGAAGATTGAACGATCAATTCATGGTTGTTTGCTCAAACCCAACTTCCCCATATTTTTCGCGGGTCACCAATCCGGCAATCATCGTATCATCGTTCGCTGTTCAGAGGAAGAATAAAAACTATCAGAAGTATCACCGCGATTTATTGTTATAACATTTATTCCTAGACCTCCTGTGTAACAAAGTTATGGTTGGTTACATATTGGCGTAAGAATGAAGGATTCTTGAGTCGCCAATCAGTGTTTTGGTTTTCGGGTTGTTTAATACAAAGCGTTTCTGAAAGTTGTTGAGGGACAGTGTGAGGTCCAGCGTAGCAAGAGCTGGACACTGACAGATTATGCTGCTTGGCTGACAACGCGTATTTACATATATTTCATGTACATTATTATAGCTTATTCAAGCAGACAAACACAGTCTTCTGATTAGTTGTTTCTTATAGAAAGTTGACTTTGCATCTCTTTGTGACTGTTTCTTGAATGTCAGATAATCTATACGCCAAGTCTGCTGTGATTGGTTGTTGAATCAGTCTTGTTCATATGTTCTCACCACCAATATCTGCGACGTACCCATTGACGTAAAATGCTGTCTACTATTTTTGGCTAGCTTGGTCTCACCACATCACCACTTCGGACTGTTTTTATGAGTCTAATTGTATGCCTGCTACTATTATTACTAACTGCACTTCTCGTTTAATGTTTCTGCCTCACAATTTGCGTGGTTTTTTGTCATTGATATATTTAAACTTGAACTTGCTTGTTCA